TGGACATTGGGCCTCTACTCAAGCCCTCCCTCAATGCAAGAACTCTTTGCTCTACTAATCTGGCATTCTGTGATGCTCACCTGTCCGACATGATTGCTGAAGACAAAATGGGTACATAAGGAAATGTAGTGAAAAAAGCTAATGGTTTCGGCTACTAAAAGATAGTAGTATCTGGGGTCTTAAAGGCTTGGAGTTAAACAAGCAACCATCCAGCAGGGAAGCAACAAAACCCACATGGACGAATCACACCAGTCTGTGTGATCATGGGATCAGGTCTTAGGCATCGGAAAAGCCGAAACAAACAATCATGTTGATGCAAACGAGGAGTGTTGGAATGGATACTCAAAGCCCATCTGCAGATAATTGGACATCCCCTTACAGAAGGGTCACAAGGAAGGGATGAGCCAGCCAGGGTGCAGTATAGAACTCAGGAAACACACACCATTTCTCTAGTTCTTTAGTGCTTCCTCCCCTTCACTATCATGACCCAGTCCAGTTCTACCTTACAAATCTGGCTAAACCAAAGCAGGTATATTGGTATAGATACATGCCCTTGACACATGGAATCTAGGACAGATAAACCCCTCAGTAATAGTAATGAGTAGCGGATACCATGAGGATAGGGGGGAAAAGGGGGAAGAAAGGGGAAACTGACCCCAATGATCAACCTACAACACCCTACCCCCACCCCGAGGGGGAGAAACAACAGAAATGTGGATGAAGGGAGACAGCAGATGGTATAAGATAAGAAAATAACAATCATTTATCATTTATCCAGGGTTCGTGAGGGTGGGAAGGTTGGGGAGGGAAGGAAAAAAGAGGAGCTGATACCAAGGTCTCAATTAGAAAGAAAATGCTTTGAAAATGATGATGGCAGCGTATGCACAAATGTGCTTGATATAATTGATGTGTGGATTATTATAAGAGCTGTTAGAGCCCCCAATAAAATAATTTAACAAAATAATAAAAGAAAGAAAGAAAGAAACCAGGATGGGGAAACCTCATCTTACACACTTTGGTCAGCTTATCAGAAGAGAGCAGTTCCTGGAAAATACATCACGCTTAATAAAGAAGACAGTGAACAAGAGGACTGGCTGCAGCAGAATGGATTGACACAGTGGCTACAACAAATGGACTCAAACATTGCCACACAAGTGAGAAGATAGCAGAACAGACTCCATCTTATTCTTTTATACATCGAGTCACGAGGACTTGAAACCGACACAATGACATGTAGATTAACCAGAGTGTGCTCTTTAAAATCTTGGTCTCCGAACTCAGACAACCTACACATATACTTGAACTCATACTCCATCATTTACTAGTTCAATGACATTGAGTAAATTATTTATTCAAAGTCTTACTCATCTCTTTTGTAAAACAGAGTTCTTAATGGTGAGATGGTTGAATGGACTAGATAAGTGGAGAGTTTTAATCTAGATAGAAGAATACACAAAGACTCCAGATTTGGTAAACTGTTGGATGAATATTCATTCTATACCAACATAAGTAGAACAGATTTGGGGGAAGATGGTTTTAATGAGTTTTTATGCTCATTGCTATTTGGGAACAATTATACATATGTCTAAGAGCAAAATTAAAGAAAATAAGGAGTTTGAGTACTATAAAATTGTCTAAAAGAAGAGATCAACAATTTTCTAGATTTTAGGAAAGCTTTCTGTGTCTTAAAGAGCAGATAAGCTTCGATAGAAAACAATATGAGGAAAAACACTTTTTTTTTCAGTCTGAGAACATCACCTCCCTGAGGTGCATGTCCGATGGCCTTAAAGTGTCCCCACCCTCGCGGTGTGGTCTAATGCTGAGAAGGGTTCTGAAACAAAACCCAGCCTCTCCTTCCTTCCTTTCTCCCTTCTTTCCTCCATGCCCCCCTCTTTCTCTCATTCATTTAGGTTTTGCTTCAGATATCCTAGTCCAGGCTAACCTGCTTATTAATTATCTTCCTAACCAGCTAGCCTCCAAACTAGTCTTCCTGTTTTTAATCTTGACCTTCATTATTTATTTGCTTTGTACATTTGTTGCCATTATCATTTTCAAAACCTTTTTTTTCTACTTGAGCTCTTGGTATCAGCTCCTCATTTTTCCCTCCCTCCCTCATGAACCCTTGATAATTTTATAAATTTTTTTTTTCATATCTTACACTGATCGATGTCTCCCTTCACCCAGTTTTCTGTTGTCCATCCCCCAGGGAAGGGGTTATATGTAGATCATTGTGATCGGTTCCTCCTTTCTCCCCCAACCTTCCCCTTACCTTTTTGGTATCGCTACTCTCAATATCAGTCCTGAGGGTTTATCTGTCCTGGGTTCCCTGTGTTTCAGACTTTATTTGTCATATTAGAAACTATGGCCAGAAAATGCCATCTCCGAATCAACCCAAAGTCCTTTTAAGGCTACATACATGACCACACAAGAGATGGTCCCTCTTGAACCTTTCTCCTGCCCATACTACCCCTGGCTCACTTTGCCTTCACCACCCTGACCTCATTTTGGCTCTTGAAGCTTTCCCAAAAGAATCCTTTCCAGGATCTGTGAGTGGAACCTGGTATCTGCATCCCTCATTCTCTCACTTCATACAAGTCCCAGCTCCGCTTAAGACCATCATGCCACATGGTCTGCAATCGTGCCGCCCTATCGTTTTGTCCGACCCTCCAACTGTCATGTCAGCTCCCTGAAAGCAGAAGGTGTTTGTGTTCAGTGGTGTATCAGAGGCCCCAAAAAGAGGGAAACATTTGTTGGATGAATGAATAAAGAGAAGATACCAAGGAGACTGTGGCCATGTACACACTGGCAGCAAACAGAGCAAGCACCTTGGGAACATGAATAAAACCGGATATCCTAGTGTTCAGATTTTTGATTTCCTGATGCTCCTGTGTAGAAACCTGGGTGAATATGGGTTATGAAAACAAGGTACGAATAAAAACACAAAGTTGTAAAAACAAGTACAAATGTCCTACAACTGGATTGTGGTACAATTCTATTTATTTTTTAAGTAGCATTCAATTATAGACTTAACATGAGTGAATTCTAAAATAGGTAAATGAGACGGCAATACAATTGTTTAAAGCAAAAAATAGAGGTGGTAGGGAAAAGAAAGTAGAAGAGACAGGTAACTTTTTAAAAAATTGTTTTTTTTTTAAAAAAAATCATTTTATTAGGGGCTCATACAACTCTTATCACAACCCATACACACATCAATTGTGTAAAGCACATTTGTACATTCCTTGCCCTCATCATTCTCAAAATATTTCCTCTCCACTTAAGCCCCCGGCATTAGGTCCTCATTTTTCCCCTCCCTCCCCGCTCCCCACTCCCTCATGAGCCCTTGATAATTTATAAATTGTTATTTTGTCATATCTTGCCCTGTCTGATGTCTCCCTTCACCCACTTTTCGGTTGTCCGTCCC